AGGCACGCTCGTAAATGGAACGGGCTCTGGAAAACACGAGTACATGGCAGGTAAAATGTGTCTCCAAGACTTTGGTGTGTGTATAAAAAGGCTTATWAGAGATACCCGAAGCTGCATCATTACCTCTGGATTTCCTTCARGCTTTCCTCCCATTGTGCGTACTTTATCCAGTTACTGATAACAGTCCTGTTCTTTCTTATGTTATCTTCAAAAGTCTGAGGARGAAATTATATCTGTAAGTAAGAAAYCATTCTGCAGACSATTCATGGCATAAACGGCTTAAGGGGTATTTTTATAACATAATACTACCTCATATATGATGTGAAGTATTATTATCCTTATCATTATTATAATTATTAAGAATTCCAATGTCTTACACCTATGCAGCTGTGGTAACAAATTCAACTCAATACAACACTGTAAAAATTGCCTATTAGAGACACCAGAAATGTAGATCATCACTGTGTAGAACWGGGCTAAACTMRARTTCCTGCTGTCAYCTGAAGTAYTGATGGARTAACARCTGACAGCACTAAAATRTTACTTYAAWTKTTTAATGYTCTAATGTTTTGATAGCAACACTAMCYRGACAGCTGGAATCCAGTCATTGCAGATATRTATGGATATATTTGAATGCACCAGCATGAATTTAGTCACTTTGACATGTATGTASCACTGGGCTAAACTTTGCTTTAAAGAGAGATGCCTTATTCTTACTCCCTGTATTTAATATGCTGGCATCAGATATGCTAAGGAGGTGTCAGTGAGGGCATTTCCAGCCTTGTGTTGTGGTCAGGATGACTGCTGYTGGATTCACATCTGGCTAATCATGTTTAACACAGTTAATGGGAGGAATAAGCCACCACATCCATAGAGGAGATGAAAAAAGGTAACCAAGAAAGACATGAAAGATTCAGCAGGACCTGGGGGRTGATCAAGGGGCTTTGGAGGGCTCAGGTAATTTTCCCCTTGATCCTGGAAGTGAGRATCAAGGGGAAAACTCCCTGTTAGCAATTTGCTTGCTTTGTTAGTCTGGATAGGCATTTTTAAAGGAAAACGCTGAGCAAAACCATAGGTAAAGTTGCACAAGCAAAGCAATTTTTTTAAGAGAAGAATTATAACTCAGCATTATTGTAATGATTTTTTTTTTGTTCATGTTCTTTTATACTGGACAGATGCTGTTGGTAATGAAGAAAACACCTATTAACTATGCAAGCATTTATCCTTTCAGTGTTCTGAACATGGGCACAGGGGAGATGTTATTTGCTACCAGATTTTTGTCAACACATCTGTAACTTACAGGTTTTGCTAAAGAGTRGCATGAAACAGACAGGGTTGTTAAAGAATTGGTGTCCACTTGAAAAGCCCACAAATAATATAAACTACATCTTGTTTAAGTTAAAAAGACTAGATTTTTAGTGCTTTATGCGAGTATCAAGATGAAGCTTGTTTTTTGCTGTACCTTCCTCTTCCGGAGTTTATAGTCGTTTAGCTCTTCAACATCTGTGATCTTCTGCTGAGGAGGCGGTGGGAGAAGCTCGAGTTCCCTCTCTTTTGCCTCTCTCAGAAGCTGCTCTGCTGTGATCTGAACTTCGGCGGGTGCTTTATTTTTCACCTGCAAGGTAAGCGAAAATCGGCTCGGCTCACATTCTCTAATACAACACTAACAAATGTTCCGGTRGCCAGCTCCTCCGGCGCCTCGCTACGCGCGGTGTTTTCCGCGGGCGGGGCCGGGCCTCGCCACGACCCATCGGGAGCCCACAGCCCGGGGCGAGCGGGGATCAGGAGGTCCCGGGAGGGCTTCCAGAGGGTCCCCGCCGCCATCCCTCGCACCCACCTTCGCCACTTTGGGGATCCGCTGCTTCCCGGCCGCCGTAGACGCCATCTTGCCGCCGCTGTGTCCGCGGGCCCCGCCCCGSCACCCCTGACCTCACGCAGCGCCGCCCGAGCGTCGTTGCCGCGGTGACGGCGGCGCGTCCCGAGCTGGCAGCGGGCGGGCGGGTGGTGGG